CCCCCGCCCGAGCTCCAGGGAGCAAAGGAGAGAGGGCTGGAGGTTGAATAAATCACTAATGGCCAATGATTTAATCAGTCATGCCTACATAATGAAGGTTCCATAAAAAACCAAAAGGATGGGGTTTGGTGAGCCTCTTGGTCGGTGAACACTTGGAGGTGGTGGGAGGGTGGTGCACCTGGAGGGGATGGAAGCTCCACACCCCTTCCCACAGACCTTGCCCTACGCGTCTCTTCCATCCAGCTGTTCCTTTAATAGCCTTTGTAATAAACTGGTAATCTAGTAAGTACACAGCTGGTGTCACAGAATCCGCAAATTGCTGGATGTGTGGCAAAACGCCCACATGTTTGGTGATCAGACACGCCAGAAGTGGAGTAGAGTGTTGAGAGGGGGAGAAACACACAGCAGTGTTCTTCCTGAGCAGGTGAGAAAGGTGGGAAAGAGAAAGACAGTCTCGCCATCATTCCCCACCTTTTGGCCAGCCTTGGTCTCAGACCCTGAAGCAAGACGAGAAAGCCCCACTTCAGAGCACCGCCCCGATCCCATCGGCTGGTTATGATCAGTAAGGTACAGAGCGGAACGCTGGGGAAATGAGTTCCATTAAGTGGATAGTAACGTACAACCAGCTTCATACGGGGATCCCACCTTTCCTGCACATAAGGGGCCCCAACAGCTAAGGCAGAGAATGAACAAGTATTTTCCTGATTGTCTGACTTAACCCTTAACACTTACAAAATTGTTTCTATGTCTGACTCCATCCCTAGCCTGACTATAAGCCCTGTTTTACAGAAAGGTTAAGACCACCTTACCGGGTAACCGGATCGGCTTCCACGGGGCAGAGTTTGGCACGTAGGCGTGCTTTGTGGCGGTGACAATCAGCTGACTGCCCAGCTTATACTGGAATTTGAGGAAGGCGACGCCATCTGTCCCTGAGGTGCCAGAGGCGATGGAGACCTGGTTGGTGAAAATCTCAATGAGGGCATCGGGGACAGGCTGATGGGTGCTGGCGTCGCTGATGTGCACCTTCAGGGTGACCTCTGAAAGAAGGACACAGCGACAAAGAACAGTGGCTATTAATTGGGCAACTCCAACAGTGATTCTGCTATAACCGCAATAGGCAGCAGAAAGTGAGATAGGCTAAGAAAATCTCGATCTACACCCAAAATACACATCATTTTAACCGGGAATGTCCTCTTCTCAGAGGTCCTTTTTTCGCTTCACATGATTTCTTACCTTCCTCAAAACCACTGCCCATAACAAACTGCTTGCCCCCTGGCTCCTCCTGGCTCACACGAACAAATAATTGAGAGAAAATTTCTATCCCTTTAAATAAACACAATGCTCTTTTATCCTGCCCAGCGCTGCTGGTAAACACAGCCTAAGCAAGGCTCGGGCTGCTACAGAAAAACCCTGCAGGTGCTAAGATTTGCAGCAAAATTCTTCAATGGTCCTGGTGGACAGGGATGTGTCGAGCTCAGGGTTGCCGTGCTAGTAATCATGAAGACGTTACTGAAAAGTAGTCAAAAACACCTTTAAAAGGGAGGGACCCAAACAGTGGAGAAGAATAAAAAAATAAAAGTAAACATTTGAAAAGGTGGCTGAAGCTGAGTTAGTGGTATTGGCAAAACCAGAAAACGGATGTGGGAAATGGACGGCTCCAAACTAACGGTAGAAATTACACTGGAATGAGTAATTTTCATTTATTCATGCAAGAGATGTGTACTGAACTGTTACCCCACACCTCGAATCATGAGCAACTGTGCACAACTCCAGTGGTGAAGGGAAGGGAGTAGACAGGTAAGTGCTATGCCCGGGGGGCATCTGGTGGAGGCACCAAGGGGGCACTTACAGAACAGCACATGCAAAGGCCCAGAGGCAAGAGAGAGCCCTGCTTCCTGGAGAAACGGAAATAGGAAATAGGTTCTGAGAGCTGGAGGGGGAGTGTGAGGGGTACAAAGCCCAGGGAATGACAAGGCTCAAGAGGCCAACAGGGGCCAGATCAGATATGGCTTTATAAGTGACCTAAAAGGATCGCTCTTTATCCTTTATTGTTCTTTATCTTTATCGCTCTTCCACCTTGGTAACTTGCTGGAAATCAAATTTATGCGTAGAAACACCTGGTTTTGGATGGAGGATGGACTCAGGGATTGGTAAGACTGGAGACCGAGCATCTAGTTAAGAGATTTCTGTAATAACCCATCAAGAGATGGTGGTGGACCATGGTGGACATCAGTGAAAGGATGCTGATTCCACTTATATTCTAGAACGATCAGTGTATTCTGCTCCCAGAAACCCCCTTTGCTAAGGTATGAAGGGAGTAAATGGTAGCTAGTGACCTAAGTTCACTAGCCACTTAGAGGCACTACTTGCCATACATTGTGAGCTGCCTCAGTTCTGAAAGCCTTACTGGTGATTTGGGAGAGGGAGGTGGGACAAGGAACCGGTGAGCAGGGAGGCTCATGTTTAAAGAACCACTGGAGAACCGCTGGCTCAGTGGAGAGACCATTGGGGAGGTCAAGGCTGGCTGGGGGCAACCTGAGAGTGAGGGGAGGAGGCCCCAAGCTAGCCCCATGGGAACTACCCAGCGTGCACCTCTAGAGTTCTAGGCAATTCACACTCTAGGTTTGACCCTCGGCTCTACCAAGCTCTAGCCACATGGCCTTGGGCAAGTTACTTATGGTTTCCAGGTCTTGGTCTCCTCATCTATAAATGCGGGACGATAACGACATATATCTCAGTATAATTACAAACACAAGCTAGTGCCATTACGTTATTCCAGTCACTATGCTTGAAAGCATTTGGTCACAGTGTCCAAGGGTCCCAGGACAGGGCACAGGGAGGACAGCTGGAGGGAAAAGGGTATGAAACTAAGTGGAGGGACGAGACACCCTTCTCGGGGTCTGATAACTCAATATCCCAAGCTCTTCCCCAACTGGGGCCACTACACTGACTAGAACTTCTTTTGGTTCGAGACCTTCCACCTTGGTAACTTGCTGGCGATCTTATGATGCGAAAGCAACCTTTTCAATGCTGCAAATTTCACTTAGTCGATCATTTTCTCACCCTTTTTTCACATACCGATGAGATAGGCTGGGAGCCAGGACCCTTTAGCAGAATGACTGCACCTGGACAAACGTCTCCTTGAGCAACAGAATAGAAAGAAACTACAAAGGAATAAAAAGTAACTGCACGCATGCACAGTTGGGGCAATTATGAACAATAAGATACAAAAGGCCACAAATCAACCGCCACTTCTTAGGGGCTGGGAGCAAAAGCAGGGTCCTGTGCATGGTCCCCGCACACAACACCAGCAAGGGGGTGGGCAGACCACCGAAGCGACGTGTGCTGCCCGACCCAGAGACCTGCCCCTGTTGTTATCCCATTTAAGGAACCAGTTCACCCCTCCTCAGGGAGTGGGCAAGGGCACCTATTACTTGCTTCTGCTCCCTCGTGCTGCAGCCTCCCCAATAAAACCTTGCCTGAATTTTTCGGCTGGCCTCTTCTCAATTTCTACTGATTAAAGAGTCCAAGGGCTTGGTCAGTATCACTTACGTAATCCGTTTCCGTTTCTTGACTAGATGACCGTACGGAACCCCTAAAGAATCCTAGACCTTGGTGCTATATAAGGTCTGCACCAAATAAATCTCTCAAAACCTTCTAGAGGGGCTTCCCTGGTGGTGCAGTGGTTAAGAATCCACCTGCCAATGCAGGGGACACGGGTTTGATCCCTGGTCCGAGAAGATCCCACGTGCCGCGGAGCAACTAAGCCCGTGCGCCACAACTACTGAGCCTGTGCTCTAGAGCCCGTGAGCCACAACTACCGAGCCCGCGTGCCACAACTACTGAAGCCTGCGCACCTAGAGCACATGCTCCGCAACAAGAGAAGCCACCGCAGTGAGAAGCCCGCGCACCACAACGAAGAGTAGCCCCCGCTCGCCACAACTAGAGAAAGCCCGCGTGCAACAACAAAGACCCAACGCAGCCAACAATAAATAAGTAAATAAATAAAATGCCTTAAAAATAAAAAAGTCAATTGATGAAACCATTTGTGGAAAGAAAAAAAAAAACACCAAAAACCTTGTAGAGAAAAAAAGTGCTACAGAAATTGAACCTGGTTACTTCATACTACAGGAGGAGAAAACTGCCAAAAGAGGGATAAAATCAACACCGATAAAATCAACATCAAGTAAATCAAGGATATGGCATTACAAAACATATTTAGTTGATTCCTTCCAGTCTTATCATTGTTATCTTAATGCAGGTTTGCAGTATGTACAAACACGCATTTGTTTTCTTATTGAACTGGGGTCTTCCTTGGCCCCAGGTGGTGTGGGAAGTTATAAATGAATTAACATGTGCGTAGCAGAAATCCTCTCAAACAGGGCAAGTGGGAAGGTGGCTTTGTAGCATTGCAGTGATGATCTATGTAATCTTATGGTAATGCAACATTTACTAACAACTGGGATTATGAGGTTTCTGCTTTCTCTTAACTGTTTGCTGAGAAAACAAAAGAAGCTGAGATTTGGAAAAAGCTAAAGGATTTGTGAATGAACACAAGAAAGGAGTTCTCCTATAATCAACGTCGTAGATTCTACCACTTGAATTGCTTCTAAAATGGGAAGCCTAGTTATGTTCTGCAATTGTAGTCCTTGGAAGAGATTATGTAGCTACTTCTAGGTGTGCTAGGATGTGAAAACATGTCACTATAGTTAAGAACTTATTACAGACCACTGGGGTATCATATTTTTAAAACTTTTGCAATTTGCTTTATTCATATGACAGTACAGCATGAACAGTCCTCTTGTTCAGTGGTTCTATATCTAGTTCACTTTTTTAGAAATGGACTTTATCTTTTAGAGCAGTTTTAGGTTCACAGCAAAACTGAGTGGAAGTCACAGAAATGTCTCACTGGGGTATTATTTTTATAGAAATACTTATATTATCCACTGAACAGCAAATAAAATTATTCCCACTAAATAACAACCAGGGGAGTGATCTTATGACGAGGTGGAACACTATTAACTATTTATTAATCTCATCTTGCAGATAAAAGGAAGCCCCTATACACGGCCACAGACCTAAATGTGCATTAAGATCGACTCCTGGGCGTATATCCGGAGAAAACTCTAATTCGAAAAGATACACGCACCCTAATGTTCCTAGCAGCACTATTCACAATAACCAAGACTTTGAAGCAACCTAAGTGTCCCTCGACAGACGAATGGATAAAGGAGATGTGTTACATATACACAATAAAATATTACTCAGCCATAAAAATGAATGAAATAGGGCTTCCCTGGTGGTGCAGTGGTTGAGAGTCCGCCCGCCGATGCAGGGGACACGGGTTTGTGCCCTGGTCTGGGAGGATCCCACATGCCGTGGAGTGGCTGGGCCCATGAGCCATGGCCGCTGAGCCTGCGCGTCCAGAGCCTGTGCTCCGCAACAGGAGAGGCCACAAACGGTGAGAGGCCCGCGTACCGCAAAAAAAAAAAAAAAAAATTTAAAAAAAAAAAGAATGAAATAATGCCTTTTGCAGCAACCTAGATGGATGGACCTAGAGATTATCATACGCAGTGAAGTAAGTCAGAAAAAGACAGATACCATATGATATCACTTATATGTGGAATCCAAAATATGGCACAAATGAATTTATCTACAAAACAGAAACAGACTCACAGACATAGAGAACAGACTTATGGTTACCAAAGGGGAAAGGGGGGGAGGATAAATTAGGAGTTTAATAATAAATTAATAAATTAGGCATTAGCAGATACAAGCTACTATATACAAAATAGATAAGCAACAAGGCCCTACTACTGTATAACACAGGGAACTATATTCAATATCCTGTAATAAACCATAATGGAAAAGAATATGAAGAATACATATACGTATGTATGTATGTGTATATATATATATATATATATATATATATATATATATATATGACTGAATCACTGCTGTACAGCAGAAATTAACACAACCTTGTGAATCAACTATAGTTCAATAAAAAAAAAATAAGATGCACTATGTTTCT